TTTTCTAATCGATTGTGTAGTATTCTGGGATTTGGCTTCAAAAGTATTTCATTACTCTACACGGTCAAAGGGTCAAAGGGTGAGGAATAATTGCCCTCTGAAAGCTGCTGTTCAGAGAATATTTATAGTTGAACGAGAATGGTAATCATCACTTGTTTTTTAGAGCTCACATATGTCACGAGAAAATGATGTGCCATGAGGAAAGGGTGCAGGATGTAACACATTTACTATGTACGTAACAACTCGCTGGATCCATCTATCCAGGGGCATTCGCCTGAGCATTGACAAAAACGTACCGATTGCCAGGTTTTTCCGAAGGAGTTGGAATTGCAGTAGGTTGAATTGGAATGGTAGGCGAAGCTTTGCAAGGCACTGCATGGTGGACTCCATTCCCGTTGCGGGCTTCTTCAAGCACCTCCAGTATCTCCACCTGGAGCAGTTGCTCTGAACAGTATAATTGTAGACTGAAAATGAAAAGGAGTTGTCGATCTTCATTGAACGCCTTCAATTAATGCATTCGTTGCTGTTCTATGGAGACAATTCATTGCTTTCCCAACACTGTTTTTTTGTTCAAAAGACTCCCTGGTTCCCAGAAATCCCTTAAAAAAGCAGGTCTAACTTTCAGAAATACAACACATGCGTAAAAAACCCATCAGAGATTATGTTGTCATCTTTACGCAGTAGATGAGGTTTGCCATTTTCATTAATAAAACACCTGCCACCACAAAAAGGCACTTTTGAGGGGCATCAGAAAATCTTTTAGGCAGACTGACTGGCTGTCACTCTGAGAAGAAATGGTAAAGAAAGATCTAGGAAGTAATAGAGTTAAGTTGAGTGATTGACTGAAGCAGAAGTTCTAGCAATTGAATTCCGAGACTCGAAAAGAAAGTGAATGCCAAAAAATGGATTGACCGAGGCACCTGACCAACCTTCTGTAATTGGGGGCTGTCGAACGGTTCCATTCCTACTGTCGGAGACATCATGTTCCGGTTCTGCTATTGGTGCCGTAAGTGGTGGCGAAGGTGGTGGTGGTGGTGATCGGCCGAAGGACGGCGAGTACTGCGACATTCGTTCGCCAAGTCGGAGCGATTCTTATTGCAGGTTTAGCTCTGGAAGATGTACGTCGCTTGAACCGAAGTAAATTTGTGAACGATGAATTCGATTCGAGTCATAAATTTGGGTTCAATGACATGAGAACAGGTGAATCATGACAAAAGTCGGCTTATCGTCAAGCATGGCCTCTCACCAACTACCAAACGTAAATGGTTATATTACATATGTATGTGTTCAAGGAACCTCGGTGAAGTGTCCCTGAATTCCATTCATCATATCAAAACAACTGCGAAGGAAAATTTCTGACTACAGAGGTAGAAACCGTGCTGGGCATTGCATGATCGAAATGCTGTTTATCCTCATTATTAACATCAAAA